CTTAAGAACAAATCTGTGCGTACGAACGGTTCTTGCATGAGGCCCATTGATCCTACCTTTCAGCTTCCTCCTCTGTGATGAGGACTTTGTCTCTAATCTTTGGATCAGCCTTATTTTCCCACCAGAATTTGTGAGTATTTTTCTTGTGTTGTCTTCTGAAATCAAACACATTGAAAAATAATTTAACAAATAGCATAGCAAAAGTAATTTTTAGTGGTGCATCAACTGATCATTACAAATAACAGCAGAGCTGGTAATAATACCATGTCACCCATCAAGAGAATTACTGTTCTGATGCCTACTAAGAAAGGTAAACAAAAGGTTATTAAAGTCCCTGCAGATGGACTTTTGTTTAAATTGAAATAAATGCATGATGATATAAAACTTACGTGGCCATGTGTTCTATTAAACCTCCGTACATGACGGTCATGTTGTCATCTGTAACATGTTTCTCAACCTCAGCCCCACAGCAGTAGCACCAAAACGTAAGCTTGTGCTGGGTGCAATCAAACTTTTCAACTTGGGGTTTTCTAAGTGTTCGGCGAGCTTCTTTCACCTGCGTGACAGCAAATCAACCAATCAAAACCTGTTTGAAAGTTTAATTTAACTTCAAAAACATACTGTTGACAGAGTAGAGCTAGCATTAGCATCCTACTTAGCGCGTCCACAATGGAGATTTCTTCAGCATTTAAACTATGCACGTTAATACCAGCAGATTTATTCACTCGTTTCTTTACTTACCTTCTCTGTAAACTTGAGAAGAACAACTCTGAGTCTGCTTTGGTGACTTTTCCCAAAAATGTGTTTCTTCCCGCCGGAGAATGTCGTCTGTTTACATATGGCGCAATAATATGCACCCATTTAGACACCGTGTAAGTTTCTGAAGATGCGCGAATTCTGTATTAAAACTAAAGTTTACTATTTAGTACAKTATTTTATTTCTTGAGCTCTACCTTCCTCTTCCTTATTCTTCTTCTTTTCGTTTACTGGCGGATTACAAACAACTTCCAGGTGCATACCGCCACCTACTGTACAAGAGTATGCAACTTCATAKCCTCCAAAGTCTAAATTCTATTTTTTTTTTAATTTTGTATTATGTAAAAATTTAAATAACGCTTTCCTAATATTCTCCTCCTTATTTTTATTCTTTCGCGTCTTTGTTTTACAACCAGTTTTGAGTGCACTCCTGCCACCTACTGACTGCTTGGCGTATGACTGCAGAAAGACATCAACTTTGCATAGTCCTAAAATATATAAC